GAAGAAAACGTGTTGAAATACTTGATTTAAAATTTTTTATAGTTATAATAAGTTTATATCAATATAATTTAAAGTAATTTTTAATTATTAGTTATATAATTTGTTAATAGAGTTATGTACATTCTTACCCTTCCATTCCTCTATCTTTTCGTCTTCTCATTTAGATAAATAATTAAATTTTTTTTAAAAAGGAAAATTTTCCCCTCCCCCTCCATTTCCCTCAATCTGAACATGTTATTAGTTATAGTTCTTGAGTTTCATCTATGATTTTTACATAAAAAATTATATCAATTTCTATATTAATCAATAACTTTATGGGTAAATATGCTACTTATAACATCTATGCAAACTTTAAATTAATTAAATATGTTAAATATTTTTGAATAACAAACAATTAATTACCCTTAAACAAATAATACAAAATAATAGGAAAGACATTAATAAGTTGGATAAAAAAATTATGAAAAAAATTCAAAACTATGTTATTTAAATAAACTATATTAAAATAAATAGACTAAATTAGCATATTTTGAGGGTAAGAATGCAGAATATATTAGTATATTTTTGATACTTTATTAAAATATCTTAATTTTGAAGTATTTTTACCCTTTTTTTTTCAAATCTAGTAAATAAATACCAATTTCATATAAAATATAATTTCTTTTTTGATATAATTATAGATATTATCAAACTTTCAATTAAAATATCAAATTCAATTGTTAAATTGATAGAACATAAATTGTACAAAAAATTACAACTAATGTAAAATTTTTAATTTGTCTTAAGAATTGATTATAGAGAAAGAAATGGTCCATTTTCCTAACTCCTAAATATTTTCTTTAAATTCAAAACGGTCCTTATAATTCAAACATCAAAAACAAAATTTGTACTAATCAAAAATTGATGTACTAATTAACTATCACCGTTCCATTCACCCATGTCCCTCATCGTCCCATTTTTAAGTCATGACAATGCAAATAACTGAGGAAATTCATCTTTTAAAGGCGTACCCCCTACCCATTTATCCAACCAAAACAGAATCCTCTCCCTTTGATTTGAAAGTTTATGAATGATGGTGACAAATCTCTCATCCATTTATAGTGGAGAGATGAATAATTTACATTTTGAATAATTAATGTGTATACGTAAATACTAATTCATAACCAATTTATACTTTTATCAATTTAACCATTAATTATAAAAATCTCTTTACAATATCGTTACCTTCTAAAAATTGCAATGAAATAGTTACAATCTCATATAAAACTACAAGTTTATAATTATGACATAATCTATTAACATTAGTTTAAGTAGTTAATGAGTCATTCGAATCACACTAAAAATGTAAGATCAAATCACTTTAATGACATTTGGGTGCAAACACTACCAATGAATTATACCCATTACCCTAGAAGGTGGAGCCTTAATCAATATTTGTTAATAAAATAATTTGCAAACATCGTGAAAATTAGTCAAGCAAAAAGACTGGATAGCTATGTTATCCAAAAACGTAATTATTGAAAATGATAGTTATTAATTACAAAAATTATTTTACAGGTAGTCGTCTCAAAATTTTAGGAGAATTCCAAAAACTTATCTTCTAATTAATGTTTTCAAAAATTAACTATTAAATTACAAGTTCTATTAATATAAATTATGCATGTCAATTTTCATATTAATTTAGTTGGCCTAATTAATTTGTTAATTACATAGAATTTAACATTATAAAATCTATATTAGTAAATAAAATTTATTTATTTAAAATATTATAAACATTAAATTAATATGAAAATTGATATATATAACTTACCTGCCCAAACTTGCCATGGCCTTAGTGATTGGAAATATAAGTTGAGTACTTTTCTCTTTCCAATTGCAAAGGTTCCAGTTTCGGTCGTAGCAAAAAAACATATATGACCAACATAAATAAATATTTTAGTTTAACAATTAATTTTTAAAAATATTAACTAAAAAAATTAATATTTTAGGCATATCCTAAAAAATAAATGAGAAGTTGACCTGTACTACCCTAACCTCTGCTAATTATATATAGATGGCTTAATTTAATAAACAATCTAATAAGTTTTGTTTATTATCTTTAAATACTTTTAAATCTATTTATTATTTATTATTTTTATTTAATTTAATTTATTAACTTTCTAACAGCAATTTCACTCTATTTAATGAAATTAATTTTTAATTATATCTTTTGTGAATTTCTAGTAATTGAAATTAATTTTGAGATAAAACTAACTTTATAAGAATAATAAATTTTTTTTTACTGCATGAGGAATTGTAATATTTATCATATTAACATATTTTAATAACCTACATAATTTATCATGAACTACTTAATTGGCTGAAACTATTTTATTTTAATTTTGATTTAATTTTTTTATTACTTTTTTGTTAAAATTAATAAAAATTTTATACAATAAATTATTTTAAAATATTTTAAAAAAATTTATAAATCATTTAAAAAAATAACTTTCTAAACTAAAATAAAATTAGATTAATAGTTAATAAATCAATCATTAAATTAAGCCATATCAATTATCAAAGTGATACATTAACGTTACGGAGGTAGAAGCAACTGTCTCATCAAAGGACGCTATTGTTATCATAATTATTGTCATGTAAGGCTGTTCCAACGACACATATCATAGTTATTGTCAGGTATGGCTGTCCCAACTACATATAACCTTAACAGGTAAGATTCATTAATAAATAACTGTTTATAAAAATTAA